CATTAAATTTCTAAATAATGAAAAATAATTAAACCATAAGCAGGAGTTAACGGTTTTTTGCAGACATCAACAAACTTTCGCATTAAATAATTAGCATATAAAAGAAAAATCCCATAGCTAAGTAAAATTCTTAAAAGCTTAGCCAAATCATTAAATAGGAAAAACCCTTTTTGTAGTCGTCAAAAAATTAAAAAAAACAAATTGAAATTCAGTGCAATGCGATCTGTATATAAAACACCCACTTGAATAAACAAATAAATAAATAGATAATCAGATGGACAATAATAAAAGACAATTCCCCAGACACATAACGATTGTAGGTGAGCCATAAAAATATCCCTCACTGGGAACTAACTAAAGGGTGACCGCAAACATTAGCCTTGAAATAGATACCCTACCCAACCTTAGCAAAACCTCTCAGAAGATGATGAATCTATTGATAAGAATTAACTCTCTGAGCACTTAACGAAGGAAAATAGTCTAGCCACTCCCACAATAACGAATTCTGTAACGGACCATGCCTAAAAATACACGTAAACCGAGAGATAGCTTATTCCTAAAATTTCGCTTGAAGATGAAACGGCACTAAACACCACAATCCAACTTAATTTTAATAATTATTTGGATGATTTCGGCTCTCGTTTTTGAAACATGTGAACCCTTATGTAGCGAAGGAATCATATTTTTAAACAAAAAATATTATTATAATATATATATGTATATATCTATTACAGTCGGCAAAAAAGTTCATAGTCTGACAATAAAAGAGAGATGCTACTGCTGTGAACTATTGGTTGTGTAAATTTCAACTCTTCGTAGTAAAACAGCATTTTTTTTATTTCCATGTAAACTGACACTCGACTGCACAAAGAAGACTTCTGAAGTAAATAGCAATGACAGAATTTGACATCATCGTGTTAGCAAGTACCTGCAGAAAGAAATGGTTTGGCCTTCAAGGACATTCCTGCTGTTGTTGTTGCTCACATTAGGGGAAGACACTGCAGCTTTATAAATAGTACAAAAGTAGGCAGCTGAATTTAAGACGGGAAGGAAATGTCGTGATGATAACCCAAAGTCTGTATGCCCTGCAGCTTCCACCACCGAGGAAAACATTGATCATGATGGATGACGGGCGAAATTACTATAAATCAAATAGCTAACGCTAATAGCATATCCCGTGAGAGAGTTAAGAATATTCTGCACAGTGAACCTGACATAATGAAGATTTCTACTCGGCGTTGGGTCTTCTGATACCTGATCAAAAGAGCATCAGCCTGATCACATCACGGGAAAATCTGATATTGTTTGAAGCAGATCCAGGTTGTTTCCTTGGACGTTTCCTAACCCAGGATGAGTGGTGGGTTCACTTCGAGCCAAAGACAAAGTGACAATCCATACAATGAAAACACCCTGGTTCATCTGCTCCAAAGAAGGTCATGGTTGGTTTATCTGCAGCGGAAATGATGGCTCCAGTTATGGGGGATGCGAAGGGCATTGTGTTTATTATCTTCAAAATGGTCACACCGTCAATGGAAAGTACTATTGCAACTTGATGAAGCAATTATAAAAAACTACCAACACCAAACGCCCATGACAATGCTCCAGCATGCCCTTGATTCCAATGGCTGCTGTGCGTGACTGTGGTTGATTACACCTTCCTATTCTCCTGATTTGACCCTATCTGACAATCATCTGTTCCCCAACATGAAAAACCACTTGACTGGGAACCTGTATCTACTGTTGATAACTTTTTTAACCAACGAGATAAAAGCTTCTTTACAAATGGAATCCAAACTCTGTAACATCGATGGAAGAAATATGTGGTCCGCAAGGGGACTATGTTGAAAAATAAACCTCATTTGGTCACATTCCATGAGAGTATGTTGGTCAGCCAATGAACCTTTCAGCCGACCCTCATATAGCGGATGTAACACCAAAATTGTTCAATTGTCAGATTAATCTTGGAACTGTTGTATCTTAGAAATGATTAAAAATATCTTACTGGAATTCCCCGAGGTTTTTATAACACTATTGAACTCCACTTTGAACAATCAAAATGTATTTAGCTCTAAACTGAAATGGTGATCCCTCTTGCTCTTGTGACATCCTGATACAGTATTCCTCTCTACTGTTCCCTCTTTTTTAAAACTTATTCAGCGTTCTCTTAGTGGTTCGTGAATGGATTTTGAAGATGGAAGCCAGAGTAAGAACGTTAGTACCATGATTGAAGGCCTAAATGAGATTTTTCCTCTCACCGCTGCTCAGTGAAAAAGACATAGTGGGGTTGACACAAAACGATTTTAACTTGTTCTCTTTCTAGCTGAATAACCCAAAGAGGTTTTTCAGTGATTCTTAAGACAAATGGTGTCAAGATGGCTAAACTTTTTATCTGAAAACCTGGGAAAAGGAAACTCAATTAGTTTAGTGATTTTTTTTAGATATTAAACATTTTGTGGGATGAACAATTATCCGATGCTGTTACACGATTTAGACAATTTTGTTGTTACACCCGGTATATGAAATTTAGTTCAAGAGTAAGTGTAGACTTGTCGTGGGTTAATACTAAAAGTGTTCATCTCGCAAGCCATTACTAATGAGAATCTTTCTTCATTAGTCAAACGGGTGCTCTATCAATGTGGCTACGAGCCATTGCTGGTCTCAATCAGCAAATGATATTTAAAAGTCATTTAGTGTGACGGGATTGAAATTCGGCTTGGGATGGGCTCCGGCTTCCAACGAAATCCATATTTTGGACTAGAGTCAAGAAACTTGTTTGTACAATGCAGAAATAGCATCACAATAGAGAAATGGGTGGAGGAACCTCGAGGTGTTTGTGAATGAGCCCGGAAGGCAACTGTCAATTCGCAGATCTATTGATCAAAGGGAGAGTCAGAGAAGAATTTGGACATGACTACGTTGAGTGCTGTTTTGTTTTGAAACGCTTGAATCGAATCCTTGTGTACATGATAATAACTGCCACCAACCCTTTTTATTATTCATATCTGTTTTCATCGACTTCAGAAAGAAGGTCAGTTGTTGTCAGATTCGAGAACATGTTTTCTCTTCTATTGTAACCAGGAATTTTAATTTCTTTTTTTCTCTCTCTCTCTCTCTCTCTCTCTCTCTCTCTCTCTCTCTCTTTAATATACAAGATAAAACTAATGATATAATGAATCATGTTACGGCTTCGCTATCTGTAGTCCAATCATATTGCGGTTCTGACTTTCAAAACAACTTACGAAAAATAAATATAAGAAAATACTTAATATGCAATGAAATTTTATTACTAAATTAGTATAAAAGAAATGGCGTCTATCACCGATCAATATAGAATTAGAGTTAGGTTTAAAACTTTTATGTTACGTTTCCCATCAGGGCGTGTGCGATCGTGACTATCCACTACTTCTTATCCTGTGTAGGTCTAAAATAAACCTTTCAGGCCCAATAGTCGCTCAAGGCACGAGGCTTCCCCGAGCAGACATCCATTCATCGTGACTGGTGGTAGTCCAGGATCCGATCAGCGATGATGAAATGTAACTAGCCAGTTTTTCCTTCACTGAGCTGTTAGAGCTAGATCAGATGAGAAATCAGCTGCCAGTGTCTGATCATCGCGAATTTTGGAGCTGCACCCATATGTGGTTGTATCATCGGCATATAGACTAAGCATATTCTTGCGATTCGAGACCAGCATGCTAACGTCGAACTGCTTTCTCTAGAGATAATATGGGAGGTGCTGAGATAATTTTTAGACGTCTAAATTAATCTTATCCTTTACAAATTTTAAGAAAGGCGTGAATCCATGTCCATGTACGTTCTCTCCGATTCCCAGATGTCTTGGACGGAACATCTTATCACTGTGAGAGCCGGGTAGTTGAAATCAATCTCTTTTCCATAATGATTTTACATGCCTAGATCATTCTACTTAGAGCCATTAGACCCCTGCCCGTGTGAAATATCAAACCACAGTATCACCACTTTAGGAGTTGCTGCTATAATTCTGAATTCAGAGTTGTCCTTCTCCTAGACTATTGCCAACTGAGGCTGTAGAGCCCAGCCCGCTATCAGAACAGATGGATTCATAAATTGTGCGAAAGTGAACGCAACAAACTCGGCCGGGATTTGATCATGGTACGTCGATTCCATTTTTGAACCAATAACAGGTACGCCATGCGTACCCCCACAGATCAATCAGTCAGTCGTTTATTTGCCCTTCGCTATGCACGCTTGGGCGATCACGTATCTTTTAATTGATGACTGACTAGGCAGAAGACAATCCCGCGGTAGGCTGCCGTTTCTTTATGCGTATACCAAGTATGTCCTTCTATTCATCCCATAGACATGCTTGTTAGGTAAGTTACTCCATGTTTCTCTCTACCCCTCTTGCATTCAGCATGTCCTTGGACTGTCAAATTCGTCAAGCTCCCTTTCCTCATTTACACGTCTTATAAATTTCAATTGTCTCTTTCTGATCCGAAGCCGAATTGTATTTTTCTTAAAACTTCCTCGTTGATCAAATCTTCCGTTATTTTTTTGTTTCTTTTATTGTGAGGTTCACACTGTGCAAGGCCCATAGCTGGAGGCGGAAAGAGATGAAGACATACCTTCCCTAAGGGTATTTGCGCGTAAGTGAATGTAACGAACCTGACTGGAACTCGACCTCGGCTCATAGATTTCTCATTCCGACCCGATATCCATTATAACATAAATAAAATAGTAATAGTAAAAATCTGTTGGTATCATTAGTTGGTTGGTTTTGTTTAGCGTCATATCAACCTCTATAGGCTACTAAATCCTAAGTATGAATATTTTGTACTATTTTATTTATTTTGGGGAAATTATAATGGTTCTAGTGGTAAAAGTAATACCAATTAACCCATAGCTGGGGGAGAAGAAATGAATCCATATCTTTCCAAATTATATTTGCGCGTAAGATAATAAAACGAACCCAACTGATTCACAGCTGCATTACGCACCCATACAACCAAGTATTTGGAATTTGAAATTTCCAAGCGGTTACTCATCTAGGTACTGACCAGACTCGACGTTGCTTAACATCGGTGATCATACGGGAACTGGTGATTCAACGTTATGTGGCCGTAAGGTGTTGGTATCATTGTTAACCATAACAATGTTCGAGAAGTATTATCAATCATCCGATTCCTAGATTTTGCGAAAAAGAAGAATAAATAAATTCTTAATATTTTATAAATATAATTTATTTAGAGAATTGACATAAATTTATCGGCGATCCTGAAACAATTACTGACTCAACTAAATAATGAGATTTAATTTGTCCAGTTTAAACAATAAGATTTAATTTGTCCAGTTTAAAAAATAAGATTTAATTTGTCCAGTTTAAACAATAAGATTTAATTTGTCCAGTTTAAATAATGGAATTTAACTTGTCCAATTTAAATAATGGGATTTAATTTGTCTGTTTTAAATAATGGGATTTAATTTGTACAGTTTAAATGATGGGATTGAATTTGTCCGTTTTAAATAATGGGATTGAATTTTGTCCAGTTTAAATAATAAGATTTAATTTGTCCGGTTTAAATGATGGGATTTAATTTGTACAGTTTAAATAATGGGATTTAATTTTTCCAATTTAAATAATGGGAATTAATTTTTCCAGTTAAATAATGAGGTTTAATTTCTACAGTTTTAAATAACTCTATTATCTTTACAGCGTCGAAATTAGGAAGAGAGTGAACTTTTCTGGTAACATAAGACAAGTATTATGCATACATACACACACGCACAAACTTATGTGAAAAGAAGATTAGTTTAAAAAAAATGAAAGCAGCGTTAATATAGGATATTTGAAAAGAGATGAAACTGACGTTGTACAAAAGAAGCTCTCTTTGGTAATGCATAATCAAAGTCGAAGGTGCTTACTCACAGAACAATTGATATGTAGACTCTTACAAGAAACCAATGTCCAAATTCATAAAAAACAAACAAAAGAAACCCTTAACCTAAAAAATCCCCCCTATATATATATATATATATATATATATATATATATATATATATATATATATATATATGACTGTTTATTTGGGCAACAATCCCTCTTTTATACAATTTTTAAAGCAATCGACAAGGTTCTGAGATTAACCTTTTTATTCAATTTTTATGGCACTTGTATAAGTATTTTCTTTTCGGTCATAACGTGCTTAAAAACTGTTCAAATATATATGATCTCGAAAAATTTCGGTTGAGAACTGTTCAGAGATAGGCTAATTCTAAACAGTAGCCGTCTCTGCTTACGCAACGCTCTTCATTGAAAATGAATTGAGCATTATGGCTGTCTGGCCTTTGTTTACATTCGTAAAAAAAATAATACGCTAAAAGTTCCCTTTCTCTCTGTCGTGCGCTGAGCTCAAGGATAGAAACTCCTACTGATACCAAATCGGAGGGTTTTCGACCCCGGCTTGCAACAATTAGATGTCTAGCCGCACTGATAAGCTATGATACAGCGAAACAGGCCTGTATGTGGATGAAATTATATATATATATATATATATATATATATATATATATATATATATATATATATATATATATATATATATATATATATATCCGTCTATTTTAAATAAGAAGTGTTCCTTATAATGACGTTCGAAGTAATGAAAACTTCGTATTAAAAAATAAAAAATAAATCCATTAATTCTTCTAGAAATGCATATATATATATATATATATATATATATATATATATATATATATATATATATACATACACACACACACACAGGGTGCGATGGATAAATTGTCGTCTAAATTACGCAAAAATGATATTGACGTCTCATTTTAACAGATATATTTACTAAAATTACACAAAAAATATTTTGAAATAGTATAGAGTAAATACAGTCAATAAAACCACCAATGACTTAAACCACTGTTTATATATATATATATATATATATATATATATATATATATATATATATACACACAAGTTTAGTTCATCAGTTTGGCTAGACGTCTGATTTCCTCTAGTTATGATCGAAATCCGACTAAATTGGCGTTAGTCGGATATTCTACTCCTAAGCCGTTGGTGCAAGGATGAAGGTGAATTTAAGAGTATTTATTTCTAGATAAACACATAGTGATTGAGAAAATTCGATTCGTTTACCGAAGAGTGTTGCAATATTAGCAGTAATAGTCACTGCTTACAAACTCACATTCCACCCCCGAGGAGGATATATATATATATATATATATATATATATATATATATATATATATATATATATATATATATATATGGTTCGGCAAATACCTCCCATATTTTAAGGTTGTCAAAAGACTACGTTAACTGCTTCTGAAAATTTATTTCACTATTATTTAAACGAAGGTCTACAGTTTTTATTCATTTGGTTTTTAAATTTACATCCTAAAAATGGTAGGCTCTGTTCGCCATACGCTGTGGTAGACGATTTTAACACCAGGAAATTTGAGCACTTCACGGTCTTCCAGGTGGCTTGAAATTTTCACCCCATAGCAGTATCGATTTTCTGTCCGGGAGAGCATCATCCCGAAGTAACATGAAATGAATACAAAAGGCTCTCTGTGTTGCAATTACGGATTCACCAGACTTTTAAAAAAGGTTCTTCTGCAAGCGCACGGTATGCATCAATTCAAACTATGATGGTCCCTGACAAGAAATGGTAAGGCATTCACTAGATGAAGACACCATCGCCACCCGCCTAAATTCATTATTACCTTACAGGTGACAGTTTAAAATGTGGGAGTTATTTCTGCCGCGCTTTGTATATGAATAAAGGTCGTGATTTATTTATGGAGAATGTTCATAATATTAATAATTATAATAGTAGTAATAGTAGTAACGCCTGCCAATATTTACACATTCTTCTTCATTTACGTTATGATTTTCAGCACAGAACTTTTCATGGTTCTCCACAACTTCCTGTATTTTGTTTATCAAAGTAACTCTGATCCTTTATTCTGTTACCTGTTCACTCAAACTCGTTATCGTTGTGGGTATGACGATAAACTACATCCGGTAGCAAGGCCTCTGATCGAGAGATTAGAGGTTTTGCGAGCGCGAAACCAACTGTTAGTCGCTGTCTTTCTAAGGCCCACTCCCAGCTATGGCCGCCAAATAGTGAACCACCTTAAAAAAAAAACAGTATCTTTTTATAATAACATGTGCAACGGTACATATTTTATGGCAAAATGACAATCAACCCAACACTGAATGATATCCAAATACATTTTTATAGTAAAATTACCAACAATACATTTTATGATCTACAAGATATATATCTAACAAACATAGCTTTTCTCTGAAAGTAAAAAAAAAATATGCACGAAATATTTAGATTTCGGCATTAAATAACCCATAGAGGTGTCGATATGCCACCAAAGGAAATCAATAAACCAAACAACTAAAATGAAAGAACTCTTAAATGACATTAGTTCATATAATATCCTAAAATTTCTGAAAGAAATCAAATTGTATTCCAAAATATTTCAACAAAACTACAACATAAAACACACAAATCGCCGCCTCTATGTCCACACAAACATGTATATACACAAAAATCCGAATATCATCTACCATGTAATCAATTGTGAAAGCAGAATAACATATCTCCTACTTTTATTACTTCAAAGCTCCCAAGAAAATTAAATTTCGGTATTAAATGACTCATAAGGTGGTAATATACCATTAAACAAACAAATCAATCAATTGAAATCGTTAAGTAAGGTTATACCTTCAGGCTCCCATTTCTTATCTAGACATTATAAACAAAATATTTCGGAGAAAGATTTTATAAATTTCAACCGACAGTAGTACTGGCTGCTTGGTAGATAAAAGCTGAATGCTTACTTTAGGTCCTGTCACTGGATCTAACTAACGCCTTTATCCGCTGTGCCATATGTCCTTGAGGACATCTGTGTATGAATTTCTTGTTATTATAAACCTAATGTCTTCAGAAACCATTTTTTACCAGTGCTCATATTCCAATTTTTGCTGTTATCATTTCATATTTTTTCCAGAGCTCATATTGCAATTTTTGTTGTTATTATTGCTTTTCTCTGGCACTCCTTATTACAGGTTCCCATATTGTATTCATTTCTATGCTTGGTCAGCTCAGGAGATTTTTGTTGTCTAGCATATGTGCTGATTCCTTAAGTTTACGAATCGTCCAATGATGTTCTTCGTCTATGATCTCAAACCGTTTTTTGTGTTTCTTCTTCTTGTTTCTCTTGTTACCTTTGCGTTTGCTTACACATTCGTAAAGTAAAAAAAAAAATGTGCGGTTTGATTTAGGCCGTCAATACCGTCACAATATACTATAAAAAAAACAAAAAATATTTGCATTTATTTCTAATTACCGGTACTCTTTTTCTTTCTGATTTTCGATGTACAACATATAGATCAGTTGTCGAAATTTGTTCCAAATATGTGCTAAACTTTATACATAATCCTTATTTCCCCTAGAAGCGGAGAGTTGCTAGTGTAGAAGATTGGTGGTGTAACAGAATAGGGACAAGTGGTCATTGGTCTGATAGAATAAATGCCGGAACTTTACCTACGTATATCAAATTCGAATAGAGTCATCGCCAAAATACAGCCGTGCTTATTCTTTCAGTTTTTCCTAATGACAGATTATATGGGTGAATGAAAGTTCTAGTGCATTTGTTTCATAACTCCTATCCCGGTGTGCGGGTGGTGTAAGTGTTATCAACGACAAATATGAAATCGGCAGATTGAGTTCAAGTTCCACCTGAAGCTTTGTAAAGCAAGTAGTCTCGTAGAAAAAAAACTGAATTAAAAACCGTTCAACAGCCAACAAGAAGCCACTCCACTATCTTTCCCAAGAAGACGCGGCAGTTCACAAATATTAAAGAAAGCTGTGGAGAGCCATGACTGCATGCATGCTGAATGAACTTGCATTTAATTTTAACTCTGGACATCACAACATTGTTTAAAAACTGTGTTCGAAATTGTGTATATGTTCATTTAGGTTTGAATGTGTTCAGAGGAAGAGAATTGATTTATCCAGCAAGCGACCTTTTTAGATTCCCACCGACATAAAATTTAAAAAGTCCGGT